ATTGACATGTAAGAGCAACAGGCATCCCCTGATGGTTCGGCAGTATGGTTTGCGTATAGGGAGGATCGACCCTTTAATGTTTATTGCAGGGGTGCCTAAACTTTTTCTTATGAAGGGCCAAAAACCAAACTTCATTGAGGCTAATGGGCCGAAGGTAAATATAGTTGCCATGGGTAATTTCCTAAATTATTTAATAATGTTTAGAAATGATTAGAAAACAATGCTTTATATTTATTAATACCATTGTTTTTACATTTAGTAATGAACTTATTACAATAAAAACAAAATAATCTAATTTATAACAAAGTTACACTAGTTTTTGATTTGCTTGCCGGTGTCTTCTGCTTAGTCCTCTATCCGTCGAGTGACAGTATTTACATTGCAAAAAATCTGATTTATTTACAACATATATCTGTAACATTTAAATTTTGTTTGCTGTTTTTATAGCTCAGCAATAAAACAAACAAAAAAGGTTACGTCAAATTAGAAATGACGATCTCTAAGTTAAAGGCATTCGCCCCAACCCTCTCCATCATACTCACTCTCCTCTTAGGTTGCTTTCACACCTGTGAAAAAATTCAGTTGTTCCGAAACAGTGATTAAAATTGTTACATTGTTGCTCTTGGTGCGGTCACTTTCACACTGCAAAGTTTCTAAACGGACCAAAAGAGCTAAAACAAGTCACATGTGAGTAAACTCTTTTCACATTGGTCAGAGTTTCACGGTTTATTTTGCAGAGTCCCGCCCCGCTGTCAGGGGAGGTTGTGGTTTGGTGTTGTTTGATGGTGCGCTGGACATGTCTGAAGAGCGAGGAGGGATGCGGTGGGGAGGGGTGAGAAGGGTGTGCAAAGTATTTGAGGACTGGGAGGGAGACGCGTAATTACCGGAAGTTTATCACTGGTTTGCGGGCATCCGGGAGTCTCTGTGCATTTGCGGGAGACTCGGGATGTCTGCTGAATGACCTCCCACCATACTCATAATTCTCTCTTTACATAGCCGTATGCCTATTACATATCCATAAAGCACTGTGATATAACCGCGCACGGATCGTATCGCTTTCTCACTACAATCGATCCACTCCAGAGTTCGTTTCAATCGAGCCGAGACCACGTCATTCAAGCGATCTCGGCACGATTGTTTTGGCAGTATTGGGAAACACCCATACACACCCTCATTTACACACAATCATATACTACAGACAATTTCATTCACTCATTCATTTATTCATTCATTTATTTTCTTTTCAGCTTAGTCCATTTATTAAACTGGGGTCGCCACAGTGGAATGAACCGCCAACTTATCCAGCATTTGTTTTACGCAGCGGATGCCCTTCCAGCGGCAACCCATCTCTGGGAAACATCTATACACATTAATTCACACTCATACACTACGGACAATTTAGCCTACCCAATTCACCTGTACCGCATGTCTTTGGACTGCGGGGGTAATAGGAGCACCTGGAGGAACATGGGGAGAACAGACAAATGTTTCCTTTGAGAAATAAAAGAACAGCTGGCACAATTATGGGTCATCCAAATGACTATCTATCAAAACTGAACATTGAAAAAATATCCACATTATTTTTACATTTTAAATCTGAAAAATTTTTGGCTAGAAAAAAAAGCAGTTTTCAATTAAGAAATAAAAATCCTTTTAAGGTCAAAACTATTATATAATTTTTTATAAGGTCAAAATTACTATATATTTTTTTGATAGTCTACAGAACAAACCATCGTTATACAATACTTGCCTCATCACCCTAACCTGCCTAGTTAACCTAATTAACCTAGTTAAGCCAGTAAATGTCACTTTAAGCTGTATAGAAGTGTCTTGAAAAAATATCTAGTAAAATATTATTTACTGTCATCATGGCAAAGATAAAAGAAATCAATAAATTCTGACTTCAACTGTATATTTAGCTTTTGTTTTCATTATTCTTAACTTATTGCACCCAGTACTACTAAGTGGCATCGAACAAATGCTGCGCCAATGAAAATAATACAAGGAATTTCTTATTTGTGTGCTTTGACAGTGAATTCTTGTGTCTGTTCGAGTGACTAATGTGTTGTTAGCGTATATAAACAAATCAGTAAGTGTATGTTTACTTGTGTGTGCGAGGTGTTTTGCAAGCTCTAAATTGCTCTAATAAAGTGTGAAAATTAATGTTTTCTGTGCGAGAGACTGCAGCTATCCACAGGGACACCGATAATTGTGAAATAAATCACTCTCCCAGACACACACGCACTTGAATACATTTATAGACACACACAGAGATGTCGGCAGGCAAACGCATAAGCATAAAAGCACATACATTTTTCACAGTTTTTAAATCTCTCTGCAAAAGAAAACTGAGCCATTTTGGAGAAACAACCAAGACAGTTAATCAAACATTAAACCTTTCTAACAAGAGGGAGAAATGATAGAGAAGGAATATGTTTAAGTGCAAGTGTGTGTGCAGAGCTCAACATCTGTTTACTGCTGGTGTTAAACACACACACACACACACACACACACACACACACACACACACACACACACACACACACACACACACACACACACACACACACACACACACACAGTCAGAGCCATGAATGTGCAGTATCCAACAAAGGTCAGAATTTTCCATTACTATCCAAGGAAACCCGCCAAAAGCCAGTGTGGAAAGATTGCTCTGTGCCTTCTAATACACTTTCATTAGATTTGTTTACATTGCTCTTAACCAATATACATTCCGACAGGTCTGTGTATGAGTGCGGAGAGAGGAAAAAGGAGGTCAGAGAGGAGGCAGCATTATGGGAATGAACTTTAGAAAACTACAATACCATCCAAGTGTGGTAAAAAGTCAAAACTTCACAAGCATAAGCGTCTGCTCAATCGATTTCAACATTTTTGCAGAGTCTGAGGCTGAATCTCAGTAAGTTTCTGGGTTTGTTTTGGTGCTGCTTCACTCACTTCCACAAAACTGACACACTGTGATTATACTGTCCAGATGTTGCAGCTCAAGTTTAAGATCTAACCGGCAGTGTGTTTAAATCACAGATCGGAAATGAGCAACTCGGTTGACTAGACAACCGAAACTTTCTACACATTCAGATGTGCTTTAACATTGCTTTTTAGCACTTTCTCTTTTTTTGGTACATTCTTTTTAAGTTTCCTTTATATATATATATATATATATTTATATATATATATATACATACAATAGTTGGGGTTTGATTTTATTCTCATATTTTGTTGCAAAAAATATATAAAATCAAAAAGAAATATAATCTATTTTCAGTATATTTTTATATCATTTTAATGTGGTAAAATACTCTATTTAAATATATTTTGAATGTAATTTACTCCGGTTATAGCAAAACTAATTACTTCATTTGTGACAAACTTTCACAAATCCATCTTGTTTGCTGAGTTGATGTTACTGTCCATCGTTAAGACTGCTGCTCGGTCAATTTTCCTAATGAATAATCAGCTCTGGTTTATAGTTAACATACTTTCACTTTCGCATTTGACATAAAATGTTCATTTATCGGTATGAATGACATCCCATCCTACTCATAATTCTGCCCATGTCATATTCATAATACACTGTGACTTTATCACTACAATCAATTCACTCCAGAATTAATTTAAATCGAGCCGAGACCACCTCCTTCAGAATGTTTTGAATTCATTCAAAACATGAATTCATGTTTTGAATTCATGTTTTGAATTCAAAACATGAATTCAAAATTCATGTTTTGAATTCAAAACATCTCGGACCGATTGTTTTGAATTCAAAATACTAGACTGCTGTATTCACATATGCCAAACAAACCGCGCTAACTGGGGAAACATGCCAGGTTCCGAAAAAAAAGTCTAGGTGTGAAAGCACCCATAGACTCCCCAGACAATCGTAGAGGGGGGGTCTTACAATATTTTCCAGGGGAAAAAGGGGTCTCAGAAAAAAAAAAAGGTTGGGAACCACTGTTTTATGGTATTGGTATTGGACCTTATAATGAGCTAATGATTGGGAACATTATTTCCTCAATAAGAAAACTAATGTGAACATCAGGAAGCTTTTATTATAGACTCTTTCTATAATTTCTGTGATTGGCCCATAAACATTTCCTGCTTGTTATCAAACTATTCCATAATAGTAACAAGGGGCAATTCAATCTTAACTTAATGTTAAAACAGGTATATTACCATTATTTATCAATATGTGGCTCTCTTTGGATTCTCAGAATCTCTAGAAATTAAAAAATGTAAAACAGAAAATACATTGGGACCACCTCAAAATGGTCTATACAAATCTAAGATATCTTTGTATGAATGCTACTTTTATGTTAGCCCCCCCCCAAAAAGAGGAGATCCATTATTCTATAAACTCAGCGGCTCAAACCTTTTTATTCTGTTGCCTTTACCCGCCCCCCCAAGTAGAACTACAGTCTACTTCAGCAATATTTTCAATACTATTTTAAGTTATAGTACTACTTTTAGCTAGAAAAGTATAGACAACCAACACATTGCAAACTTTTCTCTGCAAAAACCCAGAGAGGTGTTAAAAGAAAAAAAAGAGTACTTTTACTATGAGTAATAAATCAAAAATAAATAAAAATGGTTTGAAAATCATTTGTACTTTGACAACCTTATTTTAAGCACAGAAAAATGTTTGAGTTACAGTTTTTCATAGTTACAAAAAAGCTGTCCTAAAATAATTGGTCTCATGAGTCATTGCTTGAAAAAGTGCCATATCCTTAAAAAAAGGTATCATATCGGCGAGTATAAGAAAAAAATGATATTGGTGGATCCCTAGTAAAAAGTTATATAAACATTCAAAACATGGCAAAGATAATAATAAAAATAATGCCTATTTTAATGCCTACTTTAAAATAAAAAAAAGTCAAATTAGTACAACCATACTATGTCAAACTATGTATACATAACTATTAATTGTAAATCTTAAACCTAATCCTCCACTAAAGCACTGTGTTCTTGTGTCTTGTGCACTGTACCTCTCATCAAGCGCTGTTGAATTCCGAGTTTCCAGCTTAGCTACTTCCCTTTGTGTTGAATCCAGTCTTGCTTCACTTCTGGCACTGGCGGGTCTGCCACTATCTGGAACGGTCTGAGCGGCTCGCAGGTTCAGCAGATTGAGGTAGGACTCAGCATTGGAGGAGGAAACGGGAGGAGGTTCTGCTGGTCCTGCTGGAGTGGAGGTGATGGGCTGTTCTGAGCGAGGAGCGTACAGATTCTTCAGGTTCAGAGACAGAGAACGAGTGGGCAAATTACTCCATGGTGAATCTTCTTCTAGAAGAGAGAAATACAAACCAGACAGGACATGAATTAAGGTAAAAATCAGTAATGATAGGGGTTGACATACTGTATCTACTGAATGTTTTGAACACTTAGACTACCAGTCAAAAGTTTGAGATCAGTAAGAATTTACATATATTTGTTAAAAGACGTCAATTCTGCATTTAGTCAAAAATACGGTATAAAAATTAAAAAATTTTTTTTTACTATTATTACAATTTGAAAAAACTTTTTTTATTGCTTATTTCTCTGGTTTAAAGCTAAATTCCAATTGTCATTAAATATTTATTATTTGTTATTTAGGGCAACTCGGTGGCGGAGTAGGTAGTGCTGTCGCCTTACTGCAAGAAGATCGCTGATTCGAGCCTCGGCTGGGTCAGTTGGCCTTTCTGTGTGGAGTTTGCAAGTTCCCCCCACGTTCATGTGGGTTTCCTCCGGGAAACTCCAAAGACATGCGGTACAGGTGAATTGGGTAGGCTAAATTGTCTGTAGTGTATGTGCATGAATGAGTGTGGTATGGATGTTTCCCATAGATGAATTGCAGCTGTAAGAGCATCTGCTGCGTAAAACATGTGCTGGAAAAGTTGGTGGCTCATTCTGCTGTGGCGACCCTGGATTAAAAAAGGGACTAAGCTGGAAAAAAAAAAGAATGAATACTTTTTATTTAAAGTTTGTTATTTAATTTTTATTTGGAAAAACAAATCCAAACTGATGACTGTGTAAATCATTATTAAGTATCCAATTATAGTATTAAGTATCATGTGACACTAAAGAAAATAAATGAATTCAGTTTTGAATTACAGAATTCCTCTAGGCGCTCCACTTTCCCCCACAAGTCTGAAATCATGCGCTATAGTTGATTTGGATAGGCTAAATTGTCTGTAGTGTATGTGTGTGAATGAGTGTGTATGGATGTTTCCCAGTAATGGGTTGCAGCTGGAAGGGCAACGGCTGTGTAAAACATATGCTGGATAAGTTAATAGTTCATTCTGCTGTGGTGACCCCAGATTAATAAAGAAAATGAATGAATGAATGAATGAATATTTATATTTATATTTTACTGTATTTGTAATCAAATAAATGCAGCCTTAGTTCAAATAAAAATATTAACAAATAAAAAACATGAAAAAATTTTGTTCTGATCCCAAACCATAAACTGCTAGTGTATGCAAATTAAGCTTATATCCAAAAAAATCATTTTCAATAATTCTCTAAATGGCAGATTACACCAATTTGCATGCACATCACTATCATTTCACCAAACATAAGCATGTGCACTTGCATATATACACACACACACACACACACACACACACACACACACACACACACACACACACACACACACACACACACACACACACACACACACACACACACACACACACACAGACACACACACACAGACACACACAGACATACTTTCTCTCAGAGTGAAAGTCGGCATGGAGCCCAGTGCTGATGAATCAAACCCAATAAACTCCAGCACTAAACTCTAAAATAGATTAGTGTGCACAAACCAACTCAATAACATCCCAGCCTGCCAAATAATAATGTGTGTGTGCCTGTGACTGCAATGGAGCACATCATTGGCCACCTATTTTTCAGCACCCTGTGTTCTGGGGGAATTTTTCTTTTTTTTTTTTCTTGCTAATACATTTTTTAAAGAAGCATCATTTGACACAAATTAAACCATTGAATCATGGCTATAATATTTGAGTGATGAAATTTACAAAAATTAACAAATTATTTAAAAAATATAAATTATTTTTAATAATAACAATGGTTGCCAGAGTGGTGCAATGGGTAGCATGTTTGCCTCACAGCAAGAAGGTTGCTGGTTTGAGCCACAGCTGGATCAGTTGGCATTTCTGTGTGGAGTTTGCATGTTCTCCCCGTGTTTGCATGAGTTTCCTCTGGGTGCTCTGGTTTCCCTCACAGTGCAAAGACATATGCTATAGGTGAATTGGATAAGCTAAATTGTCCGTAGTGTTTGTGTGTCATTGAGTATGTAAGAATGATTCCGAGTGATTGGTTGCAGCTGGAAGGGCAATTGCTGCATAAAACATATGCTGGATAAATTGGCGGTTCATTCCGCTGTGGCGACCCCAGATTAATAAAGGGAATAAGCCGAAAAAGAAATGATTGAATGAATGACATTGGGTGTAGTGTATGTGTGTGAATGCAAGGGTGTATGGGTGTTTTCCAATGTTGGGTTGCAGCTGGAAGGGAATACGCTGCATAAAACAAATGCTAGATAAGTTGGTGATTCATTCCGCTGCGGCAACCCCTGATTAATGAAGGGACTAAGTCGACAATAAAATGAATGAATGAATGATAACAATTGTTAAATCACAAAAACTAAGAATAAGAACATTATTGTTGTCATCTAGAGCAGTTTTGGCATAAAACAAAAGGTGTCATGTTTTCAGAAGTTGATATTCAATTTTGACAAAAAACACCAATGATTTAACTTCTGGAATGTTTTGATATTTGGTCAAATAAACCTGATTTCAATCACAATAGATAAAAAGATTTGTTATAAGTGTCGTTGTCTTAAAAATGCTCTTGATGACAATATTTTATTTTTAAATGAAAATATAACACCTTATTTATTATTTTCTTATCCGTTATCTTTATTTTATCAAAAAACAACAACAACTTTAACATTAAGAGTATTCATTTAAAAAAAATTTTCTATATATTTACAAATGCATTTTTCTTACAGACAGCGTTTTCACTAGCAAAGCAAACAAACTATTTTCATTCATTCATTCATTTTCTTTTTGGCTTAGTCCCTTTATTCATGTGGGGTCACCACAGTGGAATGAACTGCCAACTTATCCAGCATGTTTTATGCAACGAACCAGCAACCTTTTTTGAGAGTTTGTTTTAGAGTGTCATCACTTCATCTGTGACGCTTTATAGAAGTGACCTTTTGTCAGGGTTTTAACGTGTTTCAAGTAAAATTTTAAAGGACTTTTAAAGACCCTTGAAAGACCATTATAAATGAATTTTCAGACTAGCACAAGGTTAAATGTTAAGACATTTTTCCAATAGCCCAGTTAAAACATTAAAAAACCACCAAAAACAAATTGAGGAAGATAATTAAACCATATTGGTAAATAGAGTTAATAATGAATCTTTTATTAAAACTTTTATTAAGATGGAATGATTGGACAAGTGTTTGCCCAGTTGTGCAGCTTTACATGGACATAATAGAATTAAGACCTGTTAAACATGATTTAAAACCTACGAGACAATATTTCAGTGATTTTAAAATATTGTTTTTGACATTTAAGACATTTTAAGACTTCTTAAAACCGTGCGACTACCCTGCCTTCTACTAGATGGATCTGCCTTTAGATTTGTGTTGTGTCTTACTCTGCGTGTCTCCAGCAGCTCTGATCTCCAGTTGGCTGAGGTGTTTGACCAGCAGGGCTGTGTGCTGCAGCAGGTCTCGGTTCTGTAGCAGCAGCTGGTGTGTTCTGGCCTGTGCCTCCATGCGAGCCGCTGTCTCTGCAGACAGCTGATCCTTCAAGAGCTGCACCTACAGAGAAAACACACTCCATCAACACATGCCAGTTCATGGAAACATCTCTTAACCTACAGGCAGGATATCAGCTGAGGATTATACGAGTGAAATCAAATCCTAGATCAGGTAATTACAGTCATTGTGAACACTTACTGCACAGTAATGTGTGTAGTAGCATTACATTTAAGTCCTAAACCAATTAGGAAAACTAATGCTGTGTGCAGCATAATGAAAATGGCTTCATCATTTGTGTAGATGTTTAGAAATCAAAAGTTGCTTGATTTCTTACTTGCGACATTGTATGTTATTTAAGGCAAGGCAAGGCAAGGCAAGCTAACATACAGCTAGTATTTGTTTATAATTCATTAATTTTCCTTCGGCCTAGTCCCTTTATTCATCAGGGGTTGCCACAGCAGAATGAGCCGCCAACTTATCCAGCATATGTTTTACACAGTGTATGCCCTTCCAGCTGCAACCCAGTACTGGGAAACATCCATACACTCTTGCATTCACACACACACACTCATGCACTATGTGAAGTTTAATTATAAACTAATTTCAAGAGGATCACATGCTTATGATTGCTAGCAGCTGGATCCATATCATCCTATTCTCAATACACCAATCAGACGACTACAAATACCCTGGGTAACGTATGACCGCTATCTTCGTTTTGAAGAATCCCCCCTTCCACCCCTACTCCTCCTTCTTCCTAGATGGGTGACACGGTGGGCCAGTACTTAGCACTGTTGCCTCACAGCAAGAACGTCTCCAGGCTTTACCAAACCAGCAGACGTTGCTGAGTTTGCACATTCTCCCCGTGCTCACATGGGTTTCCCGGTTTCCTCCCACCGATCAAAAATATGCAACCTAAGTTTATTGACTAATTCAAATCAACACCATAGTCTTGCCCCTACCTAGTACTTATCTCTTTAAGAGCAACTACTATCTGCTCTTCAGCCACCATGACAGGGGAGTTCTCGAGATCTACCTGAGCTCAAACTCCCCTCTCGCCTTGCAACGGGAGAGAGCGTCTGGCTCGAGGATCTTATGAGCTCAGGGTTCTCTCCCGGGACAGCATGCCAAAGTAGCTTTTAATGAATCATCAGCTAAGTGTGAACTCTTAAAGGCCAATTTAGTTTGTTAGGTTTAAAACCCTGTTTCCAGGTTTAAACATCACTCTTTTAAAATTTCCCCATACAGTAGGACTCCACAAAATTAGACAAATCTGACATTGTGATATTTTGTTGTGCCACAATATGTGAAGTTTATTCATAAACTAATTTCGAGAGGATCACGTGATTATGATTGAACACGGCTGGTTTTGCATTAGCATGCATGATCCACCAATCAAGCCATTCCTAACCCACTATAAAGAGGGTTTTTCACTACCGTCATCTTCGATTTGAAGCATCCCCACTTCCACCCCTACCTCTTCACCTTTCCCTCCATAGGGCGACATGGTGGCCCAGTGGTTAGCACTGTTACCTCACAGCAAGAACGTCACCGGTTCTAGTCTTTTAACAGGACGGTGTTCGTTTCTGTGCGTAGTTTGCACGTTCTTCCTGTGCTCGTGTGGGTTTTCCCTGGGTCCTCCGGTTTCCTCCCACATTCCAAAAACATGCACAACAAGTGAATTGATCAATCTCTCATCCTGCAGCATATCTCTTCATAGCATTTAATTTTTAGTCATCAGTTCTTATCAAAGGGGAGTTGTCGAGATCTACCTGAGCTCAAGGCTCCCCTCTCGCCCTGCAAACGGGAGGGAGCCCAGGGCTCAAGGACCTTTTTGAGCTCAGGGCTCTCTCCCGGGACAGCATGCCAAACTTGCTTACAAACAATCATCAGCTAAGTGTGAACTCTTGAAATATTGTGATATGAATGTAATTTCACCAGATTGTTTGAATAGTATTTGTAAAGTTTTCATCAATTTGATTTCAGTACTTTGTTTAGTTTCTGTACTTAAATACTGATAGATAATATTATTTACTGTCATCATGGCAAAGATAAAATAAATCAGTTTTTAGAGATGAGTTAAAGAAACTATTATGTATACAAATGTGTTAAAAAAATCGTTTGTCCATTAAACAGAAATTGGGGGGAAAAAAATTAACAGGGGTGCTGATAATTCAGGGGTAATAATAATTCAACTGTCTTTCAAGCATACTTGAAAAACCATGGCACTTAAGTAGTAATACCGTTGTTATGGGAAGTTTATATAAGAAATATGATTTCAGCACATCTAAGCTTGTTTTAAACTTTAACCAACAGTCAATTAAACAATCACCAACAATAACAAAATTGTCCATTTTGCTGTCCCATTGGAAATTTGAAAACAACTGGTTTACATTTATTCTGGCTTTAGTTTTATTAGTTAATCTTTAAAGACATTTTTTAGAGACACAAAATTGATACCTAAAAGAAACTTAAAAACACTATGAAGTCTCCTGAGATTCTCTCATCTCTGAGGTTTAAAACGTTTCACTGGACAAGAAGTGAGTGCACTTCAATTTATTTTTCCAAGCTCTTATTATGCAGTAGCGTGACTGTGCTGAATCAGAGCTGAAAGCCCATCATCTTCCTCTCTCTCTCTCTCTCTCTCTCTCTCTCTGCCTTTCTCATCATAACATCATCGGATCCCTATACATTATCCCAAACGAGAACAAATATCATTATCTGGATACTGAACAAAGTGACTCACTAAATGAACAACATGAAGCTGTTTATTGCCTCTATCAGCTGTGTGTTCTGCGTGTATCTTTGCTTTATCATTGGATATGAAACATAATTTAGACTTATGTGAGTGCTTTTTAACAAAGGCTATCAAAAATCATTTCAACAGAGAATGATGAATAGGGTTGTGCAGAAAATGTGTCTCTAAAATTGTGGAAGTGGGTGAAAAGATTTGCACTCCGACAAGAGAGCTAATCATTATAGGGGAAAAAACAGCCTGAAATAACGACTCAACTGCTGTATTTTACATAGAGCTGTAGCGCCTCCCAGTGGTAGAAAAGAGCAGAATCGATGTCTTTACCTGTGCAACGGCGATCTGTGTTTGCTGCTGCTGTTGTAGAAGCTGTTGTTGGAGAAGCTGTAGGTGGTGTTTGGTGGCCAGCGGTGTGAGCGAAGGAGAGCAGGGGCTGCTGGGAGATAAAGTGTAGAGGGAGACGCCCTCCACCTCCTGTAAAGACTGAGAGATGGAGAATATCAGAATGTGAGAAACTTAAAGAAAAAGAAACTGTCCTCCTGTGAAACTAACATTATTTAGCAGTTTATATATGTAGAGCATTAGCTGAGTTAGCATTAGCATAAGATAGTTGAGTAAAAGGATAAATATAGAAAGAGATTGTGTGTTTGCATTAGGCGAGCATTTTAACATGTGGATCCATGGGAGCAGAGGACACATTAAGTGCCTTTGTGAAAAGAGGAATATGTACACACACACACACACAAGTACACAAACGCATTTAAACACACTCACACTGAGAGAGAAACTAATTTTCTCTAAGTAGCTTTAGCTTGTCTGTTATAAAAGGTTCTAAGACAGAGACAAAACTCGAGGGATTTGAACACCAAAACACTCTCTGCTTTTTCACCTAATGGCTTTTTTCTGTCTCTACTACAGAACCTTTAGTCTCACACGGTTCTTATCATACATTTAAAGACATTTATTTATAAAAAAGACATTATTTAGTAGGTTAACAGCACAGCTCTCTGGCATACTGGTATAACATTAGTTTGGAATAACATAAGTTAATATGCTATAACTAAAGTATTATTCAGTGGTGGAAAGAGAACTGAAAAATCATACTCCAGTTAAAGTACCATGAAATGTAGTGCAAGTAGAGTAAAAGAATCTGTTGCAAATATTTCTCAAAGTAGCCGTTTTAAAAGGACTCAAGAGTAGTGAGTAGTTTTAGTGTAATGAGTATTATTATGTAAAAAGTTGATGTTTTCACATGTGATGTAGTTGTGTGTGTAAACGTAACATTTTGTAGTGCATTTAATTTTTACCTAGCAAGCACAAAATGTCATAAAATGTTAATATTAGCTTTAGATTTAGGTCGGGTAACCAAAATTCAACATCTAGCCATTGTCTAAGGACAATGTTTTTTTGATGTCCAATAATGATGTCAAATGATGTTGATATTTGGCTGATTTTTTGGCTGAAGAAGACCAAAATCCAAAGTCAAGACAACTTCTTAAACCAACACCATATTGACATCAAATACTGGCATTTATTTGTCAGGTATGACAACCAAAATTCACATCTAATAGACGTCAAAGTGGTAACGTCCACACAAAGCTGTAACATCATTAGACATTAATATTTGTTGATTCTTAGTTTGGACTTTGGACATTGATGTCAGTCTGACGTTGGGTTCTGATATCAACACAATTTTAATTTCCAAACAAAATGCAACATCCCCACGAGTTTGGGGTACATCGTCAATCTGACGTCATTTTGACTTTTTGTGCCTGCTGGATGTTTAAGGCCATTTTGGTTATCATACAGTAAACATGTGTCATCTTCTCATTAGCATCATGCATCTAAAAAGTCTCTGGGTCAATTGGTGTAAGATTTTGCCATTTTCTGGGACACTTTTAATGCTTCCAAACTGTTTTCTGCATTTATAAACCACCCATGTCTTAGTGTAGAACGATATGATTTACTTTCTATGTGTGATTTGATTGGACAGGAATTACAGGACTGATTTTTCTAATCTCTATAGAAAAGAAAAAATAAAGTAGTGACTGCAGATTGAAGGAAGGTAGTGGAGTAAAAGTACCAATACTGCACTAAAAATGTACTCAAGGGAAAATAAAAGTACACATTTTTAAAACAACTTAGTAAATTACAATTCCTGAGAAAAACTACTCAATTACAGTATTTAAATTTTTTGAAATTTGTTTTTTTTTACACCTCTGGTATTTACTAATCTGAATATTTATTTTAATATTTAGATTAGATTCAATTTTATTGTCATTACACATTTACAAGTACGAGGCAATGAAATGCAGTAATACTAAAGTAAATACTAATAATATTCTAGTACACTTTTACAAACAATTTTATTTGTTATTACTATTAAATGTAACTGAGCTAACATAAATGAACAATAAGCAGTATTTTTATTACATTTACATTTTGGCAAAACACTTTTATCCGAAGTCCAAGTAATTAAAGCAACAAAAGAACAACTTATTTTTAACAAAATCAAATACAATGCAACATTGAATGTTAACCACCAGGAGGAGCTAAGGGTTTAATTTAAGGGTTTATAAGGAAGAGAGGACGGAGGTAGCAGAGTGTGTCCAGCAAATCAAGCCAATTCAAGAAAACAATCTTTTCATCTCCATTATTTGTGCACACAGAAATTGCTTCCCTAAATACAATGGCAAAGAGATAATAATTAGCTACTAGATAACATAAAATGTGCTTGTTCCCATTCTGTCTTCATTTATCCCCTGGTTGCTCCATTCGTGGTAAACATCAGCCGCAAAGCTAATGGGACAGAACTGGATCTTTGATGTTTGCCAGACAAGGAACACGTGAATGCATTATGAATGGATTGCTGCTAAATGGATACATGCAAAATGAATGAATGCTTTATTTGCTTTCAGGCTAGGCAGCTGGTCTGCACGGAGAATTTCTGTAATGATTGACAAAGAGATTTGAAATATCTGTCAATATAACATTATATGAAGAGTTCAGATGCAAAAAAACTCAGTTCCTTCAGTGCCATCTAAAATGTCCCTTTAAATGATGATAATGTTTCTCAGCCTCATATGTTTATGTTCAGCTATTTCACATTGAAGGGTATGAAAATATCATATTCTTTGCCATAAAAGCCTGAAAGTAGTTATAATTTTAGGAGAAAATTGACAATTGTTTATTCATAAGGATAGTGCCTATTTTAAATATTTAGATTTTCTGAGATACAGTGTGTCGGCATCCATCAGCCATTGTCATTGAACCGAGCAAAGACGGTTGACATTGTCCATCCACAAGATGGGGACAGAGTCCGCATAATAAGCCCTTAGAGGAGAAAAGATTTTCAAACTACAGCTGATCAAATCATTATAAAATTGGCAAGTGACATTTTAAGTTGACCACTCTCTTTTTTATGTTGTAGTGCTGTATATATACCATAGTAATTGTAGTGTATTGAGTGTGAGATGGGACTCACATATCATTAATGTATGTATTTTGTGTTGACCACTCTGTATAACCTTGAGTTACTTTTTGATTGGCCATCTGTTTGTTTCTAATGCATCTCCTGTTTTCGTTACTGCAGACTAGTTCAGTAAAAAGAAAGAAGAAATGCTTGCATGTGTTTAGCATTTTTCCCTATCGCAAACACAACAGTAATCTGGCAGTATTTGCGCTGCTTTGGCTTTTTCGGGGTTAATTATTGTGATATACCTTTTCCGCAACAGAGTAATACAGGGAAATGTCTGTAGACTGATGGCATTTCATGCTGTTCAGCCTTATAATCTTAAAATGTGAGCAAAATTACCTGTTTTGTCATCACTTTAGACATAACACTAGAGAATCATTCAAATACTAGCTCTAAAGTGACGTCGGTGAATTAGTAATGGTTTCTGCTGTTCTGATGTCAGCTGCAGATGTGAATAAATGGCGGAAGAAAGTAGTTCCTCATACAGAAGGGTTGTTAGACTCTCCGTTTTTGATTTTCTTTTTTATATACACAGTTATGCCGTTGAACTGTTGTATAAAATCCAATATCACACTCATAGCAGTGCAATATGATTGCTACGAGTGTAATATTGCCCATATTCTTTAAAAAATTATATTAACAGCAATTTAGCAAAAACAAGTAAAACAAGTAGTAATTTATAAACATATATATTGTTAGTGTTACTAACTAAAATGGTAAAAATACATTAATATAAATAAATAAATATCTATTTTATGGTAACATTCATTATATTAATTAGTTTAAATTAGGGCTGTGCGATTAATCAAAGTCAAATCGCAATCGCGATTTTAAATGTTGCGATTGGCTAATCGCAGGAGGCTGTGATATGAAATATATTATAACGATAGTATATATTATATTAGCTATATTTATATATTATAACTATAACTATATTTAATATATTTAACTTCCCCCACCCAGAGAAAATGCATGACCAATGTCTTGCTAGCGAATGAGTGAGCACACGTTCGTTCTGCCTAATCTAAAAAGTAAACTAAAAGTACTGCCAATTGACACTTGTTCTTCTTTTTCTTTGCCATCTAAGTCTTCTTCATTTTCTTGCTATTATCTTTATCTTTTTATTCTTTGCTTTGGTCTTCATCTTTTTGGTCTTTAAGCCTGGTTTATAAGTATAAGTATAAGCCTGGTTTATACTTCTGTGTCAAGTGATCGGCGTGACCCACGGTGCATGCAATGTGTGTAGCCGTGCATTTATTTGCATTTTACATGCATTTATATTACATGTTTCTGTTGCTCTGCAATAACACTTCTGAAATGCTAGCCGCAGTAGATGTTCCTCTGTGTTGAGTTTCTATGCTGGTGCTTTTTTTTTCTGAACGCCATGGTAATGTACGATTTAATGTACCAACTCGTTCATTTTGAGGCAGGAATAGGTGGACGTGCAACAACCTTCATCATGAGGTAAACAAAGTTTTCATCCTGAGTTCCTTCACTGGACTACACACATGTAAATACTAGCTGCATCAGGCTCGCGTGACTCTCACCTCCGCCATCTACTGCTACCAAGCTGACTAACGTTGCTATGCAACGTTGCATTTTTGAGAGGTGCGTGTTAGCGTATAAATCAGCCTTTAGTCTTCGTGTCTTAGTCTTCATCTTCTTGTTTTTTGTTGTCATCTTCTTCATCCTCATCTGCTTTGTCTTTGTCTTCTTCATTGCCATCTTGGTCTTAGTTGTCATCTTCTTTGTCTTGGTCGTCAACTTCTTTGTCTTGGTCTTTATCATCATCTTCTTGGTTGTCATCTGCTATGTCTTGGTCTTCTTCGACATTATCTTGGTCTTAGTCGTCTTCTTGTTCTTAGTCTTCGTCTTTGTCCTTATGGTCGTTATCATTTTCTTTGTCTTGGTTGTCATCATCATCTTCTTGGTTGTCATTTGCTTTGTCTTGGTATTCTTCATCTTTGACGCCATCTTGATTTTAGTCTTCGTCTTCTTGTTCTTCGTC